CACCCTCATCAACAAATTGCTTGCTGGGGGTTAGTAGGAAATAAGAGAACACATTATATAGGAATATACAGTGGGATTCTTATTCCAACGTGCCTTACTGGTGGTTTACTAACCACCAGTAAGATTGTTCTGAGGCGACCTACCTGCTTTGCGGCGTGGCACTAGTTCGCAGCGCATCTCGGCACAGCTTTCCCCCATGTAGGTGATGCAGCGTCTTTGATTATGCTTTCTATATCCAACGCGAGTATCGTAAAAGCTGTATTACATTGCAAGGAGTCTACGGGATCCCGCATGGAATGCCCGAATTCATGCACTTCCCCAACATCCTGTCAGGATCCTAACTTATAAACCCTGGCAAGTGGCAAAACCCTACATGTTATATAACCTATGAAACCCATGATAGTAGTAATATATACCCTATAATCCCTATAAAAACCCTATGATTCCTGTAGTTTCCATCTTATTTTCCATTATCCCAATATATTGTGGGGCCAAGCGCGGAAGTGTGCTTTGACACGAGGCCTCTGCTCCGCCTCATTGCCACATGGTTCTGCTGAGCCTCGGTCCGGTGTGCCTGGTTCAAGGGTCCCTTTAAATACTGTTGATGGAGGAAATTTTGCACCACCTAAAGTCCGTAAAGTACTAGGAATAACAGTAATTCAGGGACCATAGGTGGTGCAAGATTTCCTCCATCAACAGTATGGTTTAGGGTGTAGGGTTCCATTTAGGGTTTATACAGGGATGGCATACGTAAGGTACACAACTTTCTGCTGAGCCTTCGTCTGCATTCGCGAGTGAGTTGGCGCTTCTTGAATTTTGATCATCACCTCGAAGAGGGGCCCGAAGGATGCGCAGTTTCCTTTCAAAGAAGCCTAGAAAAACGATTAATCCCAGGTTTGGGGGCTTTGTGTGGGTTCCCACGGAGCCGAAGTACTTGTTTGGATCCGAGGTTGGCGATATGGGTTTGAATCCAACAAGGTTTTTGTTGGGACTAGGTTGTCCTTGCTTGGAAAAAAAGCTCAAATAAGGTCTATGTTCGAGGCGGCAGAATGTTCTGACATACCACAATGTTGTGACAATCGAAGGTGGCTCCAGATCCCTGAGTCTCTGAATCACATACTGCTTTCATCTACACCCTGACGATTGACGGCGATCTCGTTGCCCGAATTAGCATGCGTACTTGACGGACAGGTTGCAACATGCAGTCAAAGACCCCCACCCCCAGCCATGCAGAAATGGCGGGAGCTGCTCAGACGGTCTACCAGAACGGGACCATGATTCGTGTAACGCTGGTCTCCCAAGGAAGATGATGTTGAACCATTGCGCGGCCATCAGTGTCCTTTCGCCGCCTGTCGTATGAAAGCATTCACTTGGAAATCAAGTTTTTGTGAATCGGGGTCCTGCTTCCCCCAAAGCATTGTAGATGGCGTTCTACTAGTCATCTGACCCTCATTTTGGAAGCTCCAAAAGTATTTTCCCATGAGGACAGGACAGGATTGTAGAAGGGGGTGAATACATTGGCTGTCAGCTTGCTGGCAATATCGGGTAGTGTCCAGAATGGGGGGTCGCAGTATAGACTCCAACATACTATATACCTTATTATAGGAACCCACCCAAAAAGCACCCCTAAGTTTGGGAACTCCTCCAGTATGTTGCTATAGCGGGGGTAGGGTTGAGAATCTGTTCATGGATTCCTGGCCTGCATTCCAAAACCCCACCTCTACCCTCACCCCACCCTTATTTGCCCGCAGCATCTTGTTTTTACGTGCGTATCCACGGTCATAGCATCCATATAAATACTTTCACAACAGCAAGACTACTGCTTTTTACAGCGAAAGAAGATACTAGCGAACGCATACCCAGCGCCATGATAACGTCCACCACGATCGCATCCACAACAAGTGAACCCATGCCGGCACCCATGATAACGTTCACTTCGACCACATCCACAACCACCAAAACACTGCTGTATACAACACATTCCGATGAGAGGGCATTTGGCGCGGGCAAATAGAGGGGGGGCGCCACAACAACAGGATTTAAGAACTCAAGGCTTTAGGGTTGTGAGGCGCGTGCGTGGTTCTGATCCCAATGTTACCGTGAAATAACGGAGCCCTTTTTGCTCAGAATCGTTTACCCGGAGATAAGTCGGGATGACGAGATTATTGAAGTTCCCCTATAACGCAGAAGGATTGCGTTGGGATCATCTCGAGACACTTCAAAGCCCTACATATCAGCCGGAAATAAGATTCCCTTCGTAATCCCCACTACATTTGCAATTACCGTAATCTATTTATGTAGATATGTATATATAATATAGTCCGTACAGTCCAGGGGTCCCTCAAGGACCCCCCAATTTCAGAAACTCGCTTCATGTGGGTGCGTTCCTCCACACCATTGGTTTGAAGTCCAGTCCAGCTCGCTCCCACAATCCATTTTGCAGTGACGGCATGTCTGTTGCACTCTGTCAGTTTTGATACAGTTCTTTGGTTTTGAGCAAGAGAGACTATGTTGCTTGGTGCAGCTGAGGGCATCCTTCTTCCGCGCTGCTATGCGCATGGGTTACAGCGATCCAATCATGCAACGGCCCCTTGCTGCAGGGTTCAGGGAGTCAGGGTTTTAGTCTAAAGGTGTTGGGGCGTGAGTGCTACTGTGACGTATTTGAAGTTCCGTGTTATAGGAGTGGCCGGACTGTTGTGCACAGAAGTGGGGAAATCGTAGCTAATTTGTTCACGTAGAGCTTCAGAGTGACACTCCCCAAATTCGTGAAGAAGCTGAGTTTGTTTAGTAAGTCCACAGGAGTGCAGAGTCTTTTTTGTGAACTGGCACACAGGAGCCCCTATGTAGAGAGAACTACCTGAAGAGAGCACTGAGATGAGCCCACATCCTCAGATGTAGACAAATTGGGTACAGTCAATAAATCAAGAGGCCAAACCTCCAAACAGCAGCGGAGCACATGACACTAGAAACGTGTCACTATGAGAACACAGAATCTTGCTCAGCATACCAGCGTACAGGCCTCCTCATTTCACATTAATTACGTAGATCGATGAGGTTCCTAAATTTGGACCATTAGCTGCCATCTGTAGAGCTCAGGATTGTCGCTGTCCTGTCCATCACGGACCTCCCCTGATTTCTTCGGGAGGGTGGGTTGTGAATTGCGGGGGCGTATGCGTCTAGGTGTTGGTGTTTTGCGTCATGCTTCAGGACCCTTGGGTTCATGGCTGTTGCATCGGGCTTGCGTGCGCTTCAAAGACGCTGTCCTAAGCATCTGTGTGGCTACAGGGTTTATAGATTGCTGCCACAACTGGGCAATCGAAATGGTCGTTGCGAAGCAAATTGTCAGATGACAGCGACGCATGCTTGCGGAATCGTGCCGTCATAGCCTACAACAGCACATTTTGAGGACATGCTCATGCCAGGCCCTGCTATTTATGCGTTTCTACACGTCTGACTAGCCATCATGGTGGGAGTCTCTTGCCATAAGGACAACTCTTTATTCCGAACCTTTGTTTCAGCGGCTGGTGCCTGAAAGGACGGGTCCGCATCTGCCACAGTCAGGCAAAGTTGTTTCTTCCGCTTCTGCCTGTAGTCTAGGTACCCCAGTAATGCCCTTTTTCCCTTTTTATTTGGGTCTCCGTATTGAAACTGAATAGTACGAGAAAGGGTACCTTTATCATTAAGGGGACTGGGCAACCTAGTAGTTCTAAGAGCTCTACAGTCTTGACACATAGGGGTAGTGTGCGCCTCAAACACGGGACAACTTGAGATCCCTGAGTTCCTTGAAATGTCTACGACTTTTGACAGGTTTGAGCATAGCCGAGTGAAGCTATGCTACTTCGAGAAAACAGCAGCCCCGGAAAACTCTGACATGCTTGCGCTCTGGCGTTGGTTTCTCGACAGGCTATTAAGGCAATTCGCAACCCAGGAGACCCCCTTGTCAAGATGCTTCACCAGCGAGCCACATATGGTCCTAAGCGGCAACAGAACACACAAAACCCTGGCATCAATGCATTTTCAATGCTCCTTAAACCAACTTTTGGTCAGTTGCACAGTCTCAAAGGACGGCACGCCACCTTCCGACAACTGGTTCTTCTCGCTCTCCTGTTTGCTGCAGCCGTGGCGTGACGAGGCCTTTCTTGGAAGCCTAGGAAGACCTACCTGGGTGTGCGCCAACCTGGTAGTCCCTTTTTTTGAAGGTATGTCCAAAGGATCCAATAGGTCTAGGAGTGGATAATGGAGACCTGAACCTTGATACCTTCCCGCATGCGGCTGGGAGTGGCTCTGTAGCGAATCCATAGCACTTACTTTTTCAACCCCTTGCCGCTAGACCTTTTGCGAACAACCCTGGTCTTCCGGTCACGTAGGCTGCTTGTCTTTGCCATTGGTCCGGTCAGGGAAGCTACTCATCCCTTCAGAAGGAACGGCCATGTGCAGAGTGGCAATACCCAAGCACAAAATGGTGAATGCAGCATTGTCGTGTGGAATCTGTTTGGCAGCAATCCACATGCAAAATCCTTAAGCCTACCTTCGTAATATACCCACCCCCGTCCGATGCCGAAAAACATCTGGGAACGTAGCCTTAATAAGAGACCCCTTGAGCCAGACCCGCTCTAGGGCCCTAGGGCTGTTTGTCTTTATGAAGCCATGAAAAGTTGCCGCAGCAGCCATTTGTGCCAAGCATCAGCGTATATCAGGTCTTCTATATCCCATGCCTCGCACCATGCGAGCCTTCTATGTCTTTATCTTGCTTCCAGTGGCTGCGGCGCAGGGGCCTTTGATTGGCCGCACTGTTGGGCTCGCCTCACGTGTGGCCTCCCGCCGCGCGCAGAACACAGTCTCCCAGCGATTTGCGTCTGGCATCTTGCAGAGATTTTTCAGACCTTTGTCTATACCTCTTCTTGTTGTGGACGCTCTTCCTATTGCACCCCTGCTCGTATCTTGCCTTTTTCTTTGATTGCCTGACTTGTGCTTCCTAGCTTGGGAAAGAATTGATCTAGGTATGTCGAACCAGTTGGAAATGATGATGGCTCGTAACGGCAAGACGCCGCCAAGCTTCCTGCCGAACAACCTGAACGCGCGCTTTGCCATGAAACATGGTCAGCTTCCGTCCAACATGCTGCCCAAGGACTTGAACGCGCGCTTTGCCATGAAACATGGTCAGCTTCCGTCCAACATGCTGCCCAAGGACCTGAACGCGCGCTTTGCCATGAAACATGGTCAGCTTCCGTCCAACATGCTGCCCAAGGACTTGAACGTGCGCTTTGCCGCAAAGCATGGCAAGCTTCCCAACACGATGCTGCCTCACAACCTGGAGTCTCGGCTGAACATCAAGGACCCGCAAGGACAGATCTTGCAGAATATGAACATGCAGCAACGCTTGAACGTCTTCGACACGCAAGGGCAGATTCTGAGAAATATGAACCTGCGGCAGCGCGCCATGTATATGGACTTTGCTGAGGGCAGAATGCCATAAATGCCAGCACAAGCGGGCAAAATTGCGCGAGCTACCGGTCGGTGTCGCCAGAACAACGTTTGGCCTCCACATTGATCGAGGGCACAGGGCTTCAAATAGGTTTGGCACAGAGAAACTCAGCTGTTTGGGGTCCAATATAACTGATTACTAAGTTATCACTACTATTCTTGCCAAAACATTCTCGTTTCACAACTCAACTGCAGTTCCTTTTCTTTGTATTACTATATTATTCAAGGTATTGGCTTTTGTCTCAGGACTCTGAATGCAGATCCAAATTATTTACCCGTAAGGCGTTGGCAGCTCAATAGTTCGAGCTCAAAAGGGATTGGGGTTGAGGCTTTCCAGAGAGCCCAATATGACTTGATCAAGGCATATGCCCTACATGATGCCAGGATCCCTGGCATGGTTTAAGGAATATTGCCTAACTAAGGGGCATTGGGCTCCCTGATTTTCGGGCGGGCTCAGAGACACTGAGGTTCCTTCATCTGGTGCTTGGAGCCCCAAACCTTGCGAAACCCTGTGCTCGAAGCCCTCATGGGTCAGGAGATCAGCATTCTGTTTCCTTTTGAAGTTCAGTTTGGAGCTCTTACCCCGCAGATTCAAAAACATCCCATTTCGTCAGCTTCCTTAGCTTGAGAACTGCGCATGTGACGACACACAACCTTTCCATGGAAGCTGCCCCACAGTGACCACCAGGCAAATTTAGGAATAGGTGCAAGTCATCACGCACGAAGCCCATCAGCTCGTGCATGGAAACGCGGCCTCAGTGTCTCTCTAATGATTTATGACCTCAAAGGAAGCTCCCAAGACAAATGAATCCCGGAATCCCGGTTGTTTAGGGCTCTTTTTGGTGGAACATGTGCTCGGAATTAGGGTTCAGGCTCTGTGTGCGCTGCAGTAAGCACGGGCCAGCTCACATGAATCAAGCAACTGCCGCATTTGCAGGTGACATGCATGAGCTAACCGAACAAAAAGAACATTGTACGAGAAGCCGGCGAACTCTTGATTTTTAATCCCAAGACCCCAAATCATCTAAGGAATCCTGATCACGCACTAGCATTGTTTGAGCCCGAAGACGAGGCTGATGATGGTATCAATCCCATTAACAATGATTCTTCAACCGAAAAACTGGATTTGTGGCCGACTGTGACATAAACAGTAAACCTTCAAGCCCCTCAGCTCCTCATGGTAAACCCCCAAACTCTTTTTACACTAGCCCGTGAACCTTCACGAAAGCCCAAATCCTGCTGCTTCGCCCTGAAACACACAGACCTGTGCAATCAATACTCCTGCTATGCAGCTGTATCCGTTCAACCGTAATAGCGTCCAAGCAAGGCCATTAGAAGCAGTCAGAAATGAGCTTTGTCAAATACTTCTCTAGGTGGCAGTGGAATGATCCATGATTCGCCTTATTGTCGTATAAGGGAACCGAGGCATAAATTGTTTTGGGTGCCTCAAGGTACTACTCAGTTCTTATCTAGCACTTCAGGGGGACCTTACAAACTTACCTTCTGCATGTCTATCCCCACGGACATATGTCCATGCCTGACAGGCATTGGAAGCACGCATACAAGAGCTGACTGGAGTCTTCCACAGTGAGCCAAGGTTCACACCAGAGGCTTACGGTTTGTGAAAGGCTTACCCTAAGGGTCCAAGGACCCAAATAATAGGGTTTTAGGGCCCAAATTTAAATACCATTAATGTTATAGTATTTGGGCCTATTATTTGGGTCCTTGGACCCTTAGGGTTAGGGCTTTGCTTTGAGGGCTCGGGGTAGGCTTAGGGATGATGGGTAGGGTTTAGGGTTTAGGATTAGGGCACTGGGGGAATCTGGATGGAAGGTCACATTGGGAGTGCGTATCATATCTGGTGAAGCTGTAGGCGTGGTATCAGTTTGTTCATACGATTTCTGTGGGTGCGTGGGAAAGGTGTGATGAGGCTGTGAGTGGTTACATGGAATGCTTGCCAAGGATGGAGGGCTCCGGCTTCATAGGAACGATGCAGCCGGAAAACGCAACACAGGACACTTAAGGATGTCTGAGCCATGTATAGGAGTCAGTTACCTAAACCCTAAACCCAAGTTAGTTATCCTTAAACCCTACACATTAGGGCTAAGGATTGAAGCTTATAACGCCATAGTGAGCATTTATAAGTAGGGTGCCTAACCCATTAGTAACGCTAGGGTCCCACAAAGTAGACGTCCTTCATACAGGTCACAGGTCTTTCCCAAAGCCCTTGGAATCACACCATGGTAATGTAGAAGCTTGAAAATCGTAAGCTACTATCCCCATCATAACCCGTACGTAAGTACGCCATGGTATTACCCAAAATCATGTCAGACCTTTTTAAGCCCCTGAACTGACAAAGGGTCCATCTGCAGATGCCACATACCTGACACCAGTGGTTCTACAGAAAGCCACTTAAAGCCCTAAGAAAGTTTTGTTTAGCCGCATGAACGCAGTAACCCACCAGTACTCGGGTCCCACAAAGTAGACCATCGATCCCAAAGCTTATATATCCCCATAAACACCAGTTTCCGTTTCATTTCCATGCGTTTTTTCCGTTTGATTTTCCACTCCCTTCGATGCGGTCCCCCGCCCTACCCCGAATTTTCGATACGTTTCCCGATATACAAAGTCTTTTATGGGAAATATTCAATGTGAGGCGTAGGGTGGTGTTTAATAGAAATATGAAGAGATCCCTAAACCCCTAAACCCTAACAGTAAATCCAAGGAATACTTCTCGGAGACGCGGGCTACGGCGAGACAGGCCTTGGACTACTGGCAGCAGATTGAGAAGGAAAAGGACCAAGATTGGCAATGTTTGGGGGGGTTACAGGGGATGGTTTAGGGTTTAGAGAGATATAGTCCTCCTTAAGTAGATAGAATCTGGGGTATATGGGGATCTTATTATAACATACCCAAAGCCATATTCTATCTCTATAGGGTTTAATTAGGGTTTAGGGAGTTCAGGGGTGTAAGGGATTGAGTTACAGCCTGGGGACTTCAAGTTGGGGGCTGAGGATGCTGTGGTTGCGAAGGGTCATAGGCTCACTGGCCTGTGGCTTTAGCTGGTATACCTAGAGTAACAAATGTACCTACAAAAAAGAATTTGTACCTAACAAGTCGATATCTCTGACATCCCTTGAGAAAAATCTTCCGCTTTGTTGGCCTCCCCACTCTGCAGTAGTTGTGTGGTGGAGGAACGTTCCTTTGGGTGGGCGGCAGGTCCCGAAACCTTGAACTCCTAAACCCCGAACCCCAACACCCTGAACTCTCCGCCGATTCCGGATTACTGCTGCCCACCAACATAGTCACCTGCCTTGCGCGAGCAATCAAGACCCGCCTCGCCAGACGCAAGCCGAAGCAGTCTCTGACTGAACTCTGTGTATGACCTGAATAAAGACGCGGCTTTGGCTCTCCAACCTACAGACAGGAACCACAGTGTCATAGACCAAAACATGAGTTGCCATCAAGAGATGGTTTGCTGTAGGTGATCGGATCCAAAAAACCCAGGGCCCTAAATAGTAGTTTCCATTTTCTCTCCCTTCCCTTTGCCGTGTCATTCTCCATTACTCCCGATATACCTAGAACATTTGCCCTAAACCCTAAACCTTAAACCCTAATATAGAACATTTGGATCCAAGGTGGACTTCCAGTGGTGGACAGAGATGCGATTGCTGCTGTGCTGGGCTGCCACGCCTTTGGTGGCTGTCGCACTGGTGATGATGCTTGGCGGCACGCAGTGCAGTGGCACCCAGATGCAGTTGTGAGTGTACCCAGTGAGTCCACAAAGCTCCATTATTGTTCAGGCTCTCAATATGAATCATAGTCTAAACTCCTCCTAGTATCCCCCTTAATAACACCTATCATTAATAGCCCCCTATATAATCCCGTATATAACCCCCTTTAAGGAGTTTTGACTATAGCTCAAATGAATCATGACCATCTATGGCCCTTGCCTGAGGTTCTTCCTGCTCCTTCGCCTGCGAAGCTCTCCCGCAATTAGTATGCGGGAAGGGCAGCTGGCAGGGAGCCAGAAAGCTTTTCAAGTTGGAAGGGCTGGCATGGATGTGCATGTAGATACTTGGCAAGTAGGTTGGTGGCGCTCGCCCAATACGACATAGCAGTCCCTGCTCGATGGAGAATTGTATTGCGCGACAAGTCCAATACTGCTGTGAGTTCTGCTCTCACGCACGCGCATGCTGCAAGCATCATGCATGTATATTTCAGAAGACCTGCATTTCTAACCGATGTCTCGTGCAGCTATCTTCTAGTACCGGTATTGAACCAAGTGTGTTCGCGCTGCTTTGCGCAAGGTATGTACATGCACTCAAGCTCTGACCTGCTGAACTGCAGCGCGCAGTTCTACACCGAGGCGGGGCATGCCCGTGCCACTGTTCGCAGATTGTTCTCGATTCCCGCAACTGGTATGTACCTCTCCATGCAGCTTTCAAGGCCTAGGCTACACGGGGTTGCAGTAGGTGGTGGGGCTCGGGGCATGGTGTCTGCACATGTTGAATCCAGGGCCATCGCTCATAGCCGCCAGGAAAACTCTGCGTCGGCGGCCTCCTTGCAACCAATCCTAGGTATTCTACAGGGCCAGTTAGTCATGTCATGTCCAAGCACGAGACGTGGCCAGAAGTGCCACGGTTACTTCCACCTGATCCCAATGATGGGGCCCCCAATTTTGAGAACCTCCCACTGTTCAAACCCTACCCCCACAACAATGTGGCAATTTCAATTTAATGTCCCGATTTCTTTTCCATACGATCCTCGATTATAGTAGTTCCATGTCCTTGACCATCCCCCTAGGTTTTGGGGGCCCCCTTGAAACCCCAAATCCCCAAAACCCCCATAATGAGTCAACACTTGAAGAAACTGCCTAAGAAATCTTGTTTTGCGCGCAGGTGTACTTCTTCGGGTGGACGCCATCCCAAAGGCCCTGCTTGCCGGGGGGCTAAGTGTAGGTGACAATAATAATGTTTAGGGTTTAGGGTT